AAAAAAAAAAACCACAGCAAGAAAACCAGACACTCTCTAAAAAACCCTGAAATTATAAAAATCAGGGGAGAAATAAATGAAATTGAAAACATAAGAACAGTTGAAACCATCAAGAAAACTAGGAGTTGGTTCTTTGAAAATGTCAATAAAATAGACAAAATACTAACAAAATTAACAAAGGAAAAGACACAAATAATCAGAATAAAAGAAGAGACAGGAAATGTCACAACAGAAACAACGAAAATAAAAAGGCTAACAATGGAATAATCTGAAAACCCATTGTCAAACAAATATGAAAACCTAGAGGAAATGGACAAGTACTTAGAAAATCACAACCTACCTAAACTTACACAAACTGAAATTGAACACCTAAACAGATCCATTACAAAAAAAGAATTGGAAAGGTAATAAAACAATTTCCAGCCAAAAAAGTCCTGTACCAGGTAGTTTTACAAATAAATTTTATCTAACATTCAGAGAACTGTCACCAATCCTACATAAACTATTTCAGAAAATAGAAGGTGATGGAATTCTCTCAATCTCATTCTACGAAACAAACATATACTTGATAGCAAAGTTAGCTAAAGACACCACCAAAATAGAAAACTATGGTACAATAGCTCTCATAGATGCAAAACTGTTTAATAAAATCCTGGCCAGTAGAATCCATCGATACATCAAAAATAATTCACCATTACTAAGTGGGATTCATAACAGGTATGCAAGGATGGTTCAACATAAGAAAAACAGTGTAATTCATCACATTAACAAAGTAAAGAACGAGAACCACATGATCCTATCAATGATGCAGAAAAGGCCTTTGAAAAAATCCAACACTCTTTCCTGATTAAAACATTCAACAAAATAGGATTAGAGGGGAACTTCCTCAACATAATAAAAATATATACACAACCCAAGAGCCAACATTGTTCTTAATGGAGAGAGATTAAAGGCATTCCCTTTGAGAACAGGAACTAGGCAAAGATGCCCACTATCACCTTTCCTATTGAATATTGAATTTGAAGTCTTAGTGATAGCAATAAGAAAAGAGAAGGAAATAAGAGGTTTACAAATTTGCAAAGAAGAGGTGAAATTATCTCTATATGCAGATGATATGATTGTATACTTAGAAAACTCAGCAAGAAAACTACTGGACATAGTTGAACAATATAGCAAAGTGGCAGGATACAAGAGCAACATACAAAAATCAATTGGATTTCCCTACAGTGACAAAGAGAATACAGAGCTGGAGCTAAGAAAAACAAAACCCATCACAATATCTAACCACAAGTTTAAATACTGGGAGTAAATATAACCAGAAACACAAAGGATCTATTCAAAGAAAATTACAAAACCTCTCTACAAAAAACAAAAAAGAGACCTGGAGAAGTGGTAGAATAGGAAGACTCAGTATTATGAAAATGACAATACTACCAAAGGCAATTTATAGGCTCAAAGCAATCTCAATACAAATACCAATTTCATTCATCAACAAGATGAAAAAGGCAACTTCCAAATTCATTTTGAATGGAAAGAGGCCCCAAATAAGCACAGCACTCCTTATAAAAAGAAACAAGATAGGAGTCATCTTACTCCCTGATTTCCAATTCTACTACACTG